GGAGGGCCAGGGAGCGCACGTGCTTCGATCGCCGGGGGCACCATGGAGGGTGCGCCTGCGCCACGGAGGCACTCCGGGCGGCGTATGCGATGTGGGGGGAGGGCCGGGGAGATGCTGCCTCGGCGCGCGCTGCCGCGACGCGGCACGGAGTCGACCGGGCCACGCCGGCGAGGGAGATGCGCTCCAGCGAGGGTCGCGTCCTTGAAACCGCCGACGCGTTCCTGGACGACAAGGCCGATCGACTCTGGAGGACGCGGTCAGCGGCGCTTCGCGAACTGGCACAGAAGGTTCGAGACGGCACGGATCCCGGGGTGGCCTGGGCGTGCAACTTCAGTCGGCCTCAGTGGCGCGTGTTCTCACCAGAACAGTGCCTCCGCGGCGCTGCGGCGGCGCCCGAAAGGCCGATCCGACCCGGCAGCCCCCCGGAGCGTGCATCCAAGCGTCCGCCACCGCCGGCTCAGCCCCGGCTCGACATGACTCTGGCCCGCGCGGGGTCGCCGACGGCGCCGAGTCGGCGCCAGAGGCACGCCCGGCGGCCGGATGGTCGCCTCGAGCGCTGAGCGGCTGCCGCCACGGTCACTTACGCTCGAGTTGCGCCAGGTGCGCCTCTCGGTGGCCCGGCGCGGCCGCACGTGCTCTCTGTAGATGTCTGCTCTCACTCGACGGCAGGCGTGCTCCGTGCTCTCGCCCGATTCTCTCCCTGCCGCCGGCCTCCGCCCCCGAGCGACCGCCGCCGCACACCGACTATTGCCGGTATGACTGCCGTCCCTCACTCAGCCGTCCGTTTGTCCTCAGCGCTCGCACGACCGACGTTCTTCCTCCTCTGCGGCCTCGCTCGGGCCCGCTCGTCGACACGCGCAACCAGCAGACGCCCGTGTCGGAGCTTCTGTGCCGGCTTTGAGCTTCCATCGCTGATGGGGGCACGCCCGGCCCGGCACTCTCGCACACCGTGGAGCGCGGCACCGCGCGCGCTCACGCCGCCCACCTTTGCTGCCTGCGCAGGTGCGGCTCTGTCCCGGCGGCTCACTCATCGAGCACCTCACGGCTGCGCGGCGGCTCACTCATCCGCACCACCGCGACCGGTGCGCCATCCCACATCACGCCTCTCGCCCACGTCCACCCGCACATACACTCTCTCACTCTGTCATGAGTAGTCTTCAATCGACACGGTCTCTTGGAGTAGTCACATCAGCACCGGCGCCGGCACAGCGCACCGCTACACTCGCCTCCGTTAGGTTGCAAACATCGCCCTCAACATCCGCTTGCGCCTCACACGTCCGGGGGCAGTGTCGCGTGAGCCACAGCTTAGCACCGACGCCAGGCTCTTAGCTGTTAGCTCTACGTGTACGTGTGTGTGTGGTGGGGGGGGGAGGGCGGCGTAGTCAAAAGAAAAGCCTCAGTCGAGAGAGGCTAGTAGCCCCTTCGAGTGCGGGCTCCGCGCCCGTCTTGTCCTGGCATATAAGAGAGGCGAATGGGACAGGGGTTGAAGGGGTACACGCTTGGTACCCGGCCGTTTTTCGCGTTTCTCTACAAAACTGTGTCCAAGCCGAAGGCCCGAAGCGCAGGTCCGAGCTCGACATGCGACCAACGTGGTCCCGCACACCAGTGCTCGTGCTCGCACGTGCGGCCGCCTCTCCTGCTCGACTACTCGTGCTCTGCCTCTGCGCGCTCGCTGCGTCCGTGCCACTTCTTCGCTGCCTCTCGCCGCTGCTCCTGTCCTTGACTGCGCCTCGGGTCGAGGCGCCAGCAGCAGCGTCAATGGAGTGGCTGGTCCAGGGATACCCGGAGCGCAGAGGCCAGAGCCAACCCTCGGAGGAGACCCGTGTTATGGCCCTGCGACCGCGCACCCCCCAGGGCTAGGGCTATCGTCTGGCAACTGGGGCGCTTCTTAGCTCCCCGGTCCTGGGCGTGCGGTTAATGACTGCACCCCAAGTGTGCTCACGGTGACACGGTTAGTGCTCCAACGCGACTCGAGGTGGTGTGGTGGGTCCACACAGGCGGTGCACAAGCCGCTGACCGCGCGCGCGTTTTGTCAGGCGTGGTGCGCGTCAAAAAAAGCACAAACGGATAGCGCGCGGGCGGACAGGGCGCCCTCGTCGCTCACATTCAATTTCTCAGTGAAGGTATCACGTGCCTTACCGTATAATATAGCCCACACAGACACACACCTCGGCCCCTGCGTGTGCTCTCGTGACGTGCATCACTTCATCTCTGCCACCCTGGCCGCGGCCTTGGTCTTCAGCGCAAACGCCTCGTTCTGCACACACACGATCGGCGGGGTGAGAGAGAGCAGGCGTGTCGGGCGGGCGCGATGTTCTGTGGCGCGCGCGCCGTTCTATCGACGTAGCCGTCCATCAGGCGCGTGATGCGCTCCACGTTCGACACGACGAGGAGGAGCCCGCCGAACGCTCCAACGTAGCCGAACGCCCCCGGGACATAGCGCGCGGGGTTCATCAGACACCGCGCGAAGCAGCTCGCCTGGACGCGGGCGGCGGCGGCGGCGTCAGCGCAGGCGGCGCCGGTGGTGGCGGCAGCCCGGCTTTGGTGCCGCAGTCAAACACGGGGGAGAGAGGTGCGGGAGGAGGCGCGGGCGGTGGCGGAACGGGTGGTGGCGGAGGTGGAACGGCGGAGGCGGGCAGGAGCACCTACTCCGCCAGCTCGAAAGAATTTACCAAATCCTGCACCCATCCCTCCCTTGGGGGGTCTGTTTTCTTTCTTTCCAACACCCTCGGACTGTCGCCGCCCCTGCCACCCCTGTGTCAGTGTGCCTGTGGTTGCGAGAGACTGCCAGTGAGAAGCTGGAGGCAGGTCGCTAGACTGAGATGAGACCGCCAGTGGAGTTGGGAGTCCACCGTGCACCGCGCTGCGAGCCTGTCGTGTCCCTTGTCAGGAGCAGGAGAGCCCCACCTGTGCCCCTGATCGTCCTTCCAAAATCCTGCTCGTGCAGGTGGGGACCCTGTCCTCCTCCCCCATCCCTCGTTTGGGCTGTCTGTTTGTGTGTTGTTTCTTTTCTTTTTTCGGACTGTCGAAAGAAATTTGAGTTCGCGTCCTTCTCAGAGGGAGCAGATCTCTCTCCGGGAGATGGTCTGTGAAGTGACTTGCGTACGTCTCTTCTAGATCTAGTTCCCACCAGTGCCGTGCACATTGGGCTAAACCCCACCTGGCTTCCTCCCGCTAAATACAAAGGCCGCGAGACAAGTTCTCTCTTGCACCTCGAAGCGCAGAAAGGCTGCCAACCTCCTCTCCCATCTGGCGCTTGCGTCGGGCAGCGTGGGCGCGGCATCCGGGACGGATGCGGGCCCTTCTCTCGCGGGATCGCTGGGAGCCGCTCGGCTCCCCACGCGCCGCCGAGCTGCGATGGCGCCACCGCAACGGCTGCCCCTCCTCGGCTCCCGCCCCGGGGCTGCCGAAATAGGTGCCCCGAGCCACCGTTTGCAACATCCGCGCGGATCGGCGGTGCTGCCGACGCCCCCCCGACCGGCAAACACCATCGGAAGGGCGGTGGTGAACGCTGCACCTCTCAAATGTCGTCGTCGTCGCGCAGTTCCCTTAAGTGACGTTCGGCGGCCGGCGGCGGCTGGCGGCAAAAAATCCGGATTTTCGTCTCTCGACGCGAAGATATGGTCCCGAGTCTCACTACTCGCCCCTCCATCCTGTAGGTCCGGACCTTGCCTGCTCAGTAGCCGCGATGTATCGTCGCCCTCATCGTCCGCGGTCATCCTTTCAGCCTCAAACGGGCCAAACGACTGTCTCGCCATCACCCATCTCGCCTCTCGCGGTCGCGTCACACCTTCCCTCGTGCCGCGAGTAGGCGCGTGAGTGATGGCCCTGCCGCCAGGTACACGGCTACACCTCGGGACGCCGTGCTGAGACGGGTAGAGCCGCCCCGCGGGAGCAAAAGCCGCCTCGCGCGCCTCAGCCCGCCGGGCCCCTCGGCGGCCAGTGTGGGGTTGATACGGCGGTGATAAACCCCTCTGACAGCAGCGCCTCACGGCGTGGGCTGCGAGGTCACTCGGGGTGACCCAGGGGGCGGCGGGGGAGCAATCTCCCGCCGGAGCAGCGGGTGATATTCCCGCTACTCGCTCGAGTTTGAGGTGCGCCGCGCCTCGCCTGTGTTGCCTTCCCGGCCGCCCCAGCCGCCCTCACCGTTCCTCATCCCCTCCCCCACCCCCTCCCCCTCAGGCTAGGCCCTCGCCACCGCCGCTGCCGCTGTCTCCGCCACAGCCGCCGCCGTTTCCCTCCCCCCCACCCCCTCCGACGCCGTCGCCTCCGCTGCTCCCGCCACCACCGCCGGCCGCCTCAGCTCTCCTTCGCCCACCTCCCACACACCACCAACGCCCTCCGCGCGTCCCCGCACGCCGCCTCCGCGCCCCCACGCCCCCACGACGACCTCCCGCCCCGCCCTCCCCGCGTCTCAGACCCTTGGCCGTGCTCCGCTCGGGGCGACTCGGCGCCGCCATCGCGAGCATGCCGTAGATCTCAGGTCATTACAT